AAAATTATATTTTAAACATTTCAAAAAAAAAAAAAAAGATGTAGAGCTACAGACCACTTGATTCAGGATCCTTTGAATAGCTTGTTAAAAAAAAAAATACATGTTCTTGGGTTCTATCCCAGACCTACTGAATGAGAATTATTAGACTTAGAGAATAGAAATCTCATTTTAAACAGATTGTCCAAGTGGCTTTTAGGCACACTATCTCCTAACCACTACAGCCTCTGACCAACAGCCAGCAAATTACTGACTCCTGCCAACAACTATGTGAGTAAGCTTGGAAAGAGTTCCTTCCCTGCTTGAGCTGGAAATGACTGCACCTTCAGCTGATTCCTGACGGCAGCCTTGGAGGCGCCTTGAGCCAGAAGGCCCAGCTAAGCCTCTCTTGGATTCCTGCCCCAAAGAAACTGTGAGATAACAAACGTTGTTTTAGGCCTCTAGGTTTGAGGACAATTTGTTAAATATTGATAGATAAATACATAAGATAAATATTTTATAACAGCTCTACCTTAAAATCAATAAGACATCTCAATATTTAACCCATCATTCTCAAGACTGTCATCTCATCTGTCCTTAGTATAAAAAAAGACAAATGTGTGTATAAATGTCAATATTTAATAATATATACTATTTGCATGTAATTTAAGTCTTAGTTTTGATTTTTAACATAAGTGTTTCATTTTGGACTTTGGATCTTAGGAAGCTTCTTGGCATTTCTGGGAGTGTTTGGAGCCAGGATGGAGAGGGCAAGCAGGAATCTGACACACACCTGTGCATTCCATCCGACTGCTCTGAGACCGTGGCTTCTGAGCTCGGAGTCTGGTGAACTCCCTCCCGGGCAGCCCCCTCGAGAATAAGGAACTCCAGTTTCAGGGTTAAGAAAGAAGCTACTAGCTCTTCAGACAGCATTGTGGGGTGTCTTTCCCTGAGAAAAGTCAGTGACAAGAACAAACTCCAGTCTGCCTTCTCACCATTGCCAGGCTTTGTTTTCCTCACTTGGGGGAAACATATGAGTTTTTCCAGGGGACAGAGTTTCTCATTTTCTTCAGGAGAACTGTGTGCTGAGAAAGCCCAGTTCAAAGGTGATGAAGTGTACAAGAATCACCAATCAACTGGAAAAACCTGGAGCCAGGACTTCTAATCCCAGCTTCACCACCAAGCCCACATGTACACCAAAACAAGCCCCTCTCCCTCTGGACTGCACTCTTCCCATTCGTAACATGAGGTGACTGGAACTTCCAGGATTAGTGCCAAGGAGCATGGAAGTGGCTTCTGGCCATGTCGTCTGGTCAGGATGAGGGCACCTTTCCTCAGAGGGTCAGTCCCCCACCACTGAGCCACCGTGCCCTCTCTGAGGAGCGTCCTGCAGGGCTGCTGTGCCACAGGGGGCTCTGGTAAATGTCATCCAGCTTGATCCTAATGGTGTCCTGCAGCTCCTCATCACCCAGCAGGACGGCTGCCGCCAGGGCCAGCAGGAAGTACTCAGTGGCATCGTGGGCATCCTAACCACAGGGCATGGAGACAAAGAAGAGAGCATTAGCAAACATTCCTGGAGAAACTGGGAAGGGAGTCCTGGGAACTCTGACTTTTGTCTGCACAATATGCATTCTCAGTCTCTCTCAGTTCTTGGAGGAGCTACTCTCCACTTTACCTTGGGCTCCAAGACGCTGCTAACCACTTTCCTCCTCCCCAGGCACAATGGAGGCACCTTCTTTATCCATGCCTAAATAATCATCAATCAGCATCACCCGGAACAGAGACCCAGGTGTGTGTGCATGGCTCAAGCTAACCATTCCCAGGCATTTCCCAGAAATTTTGGCGACTTTATATCATGGAAAAAGGTCCCTCATCCTATCAGAGAAGGTTTTGAACTACTCAGGAGCTGTAGAAGATGAGGTCAAGAATCTATAAAAACTAGAAACAGAGAGCAAAGAGCTCCAGAGAAAGGTGGGGGAGATCAGGATGACATCTGAGCCCTAGGATCCAGAAAAACTCCAAACTAAATATGTAGCTGAATTTGCCAGCGATTTGAGGGAACAAATTGCCTTTTACCTGAGCTAGTTTAAGTTCTTTCCCATGTGATCCATAGAATCCTTGGTTAATCCAATGAGATCACACATCCTGAGCCAAGAGAGCCAGGAGTTGACTCCAATGCCACCTTGTACCTCCTTACATGACAAGGATGAGGAACAGATGCCTCTTTGGGTGAGATTCAAAAGAGGATGTCTGCTTGCTATTAACACTCACAAGGCAATAATTAATTCAGGCCAGAAACAAAGTCTGGCAAATAAGAAGGAAACAACATAGCTGCCCTGAGGGTCCCTGAGGGCCAGACATAGGACTGACTCTGAAGCCACTGCATTAAGAAATTAAGAGTTGTGCTGGCAAGGGCAAAGATCTCTGGTGAAGGGAAAGCAAAGCCCAGGGGCATGGTTAGAGGGTCATAGTTATGACAGGAAAATTATAAACCTTCAACCCAGTACTAGAAGACCCGGGAAAATCAGAAATAAATACGTTCAACTCCAGTAGTGCACAGAGAATTTGGGCACATTTGTTTGTAATTATGAGGTGTTTAGGAACTAGGCATGCTTACATCTGAAGACCTTGCACCTCATTATCTCAAGCACACACATCCATCATCAAATATATTTTATTTTATCAGAATTTATCAGAAGTGAGATGCAGTTAAGTTGCATTGTCATATTCTGTGCACGTATGGTTGTCTTCATGACTTTTGATTTACATTTGGTGGCTTACAGAGGGGTTTTGTTTGTTTGTTTTGGGGTCTTAAATTTTTGTAGGCCTTTGATGATCATGTGGATCCTAAAGTTAAAGCCAAGAAAAGAAGAACAGTCGTGATCTGTTTCCTCAGCAAAGACGAGAGCAGCCTTCAAGGTGTTCAATGAGACTTAAGTGAAAAAGCCATAGTGTTGGAATAATTTCCTTTCTACAGGACAAGAATATTCTCAAAGAGCTGTCTTCAGGTGCTCTTGACTGTACTCTCCCTATAGACTCTGTCCACCCTTTGGGCACTTCTGGAAAGAATGTGGTTGGGTGATGGTTCTAATGCAGTTGGAAGCCAGATCCTTACCTTCAGCTGATAGAAGGTTAGTCGACCCAGGCGGTAATACACCTTAGCATAGTAGAGGGCCTCCTTGGGACTCTGCAGCCAAGGTGGACAGAGGGACAGAGTCTTCAGGTAGCAGTCCTCAGCCATTTCATACATGTGCAAGGTGTAGTACACGGTAGCCAGGCGGTGAAAGGCCACCAGCTCCTGCCGCTGATCCCCTAGGAAATAGAAGACTGAGAGAGAGCCTGGAACCAACTCTTTCATCATTTATTTTGCAAATATTTTTATGTTGTGCTAAGTATCGGACATAGGCTAGACACATAAAACAGAAGAGGTAGGTTAGACACATAAAATACAAGAGGCAACTGTCTTCATGAAGCTTATTGTCTTATATAATCACAGAACAGAACACAGAGAAAATCATATCATTTCAATAAGTATTACAAAAGATAGCACAGGAGTCTATGACAGACTGATTAATGGGACTGTTCATCCTGATCAAGGTTTTCTCAGAAGAGTCCCTAAAGAAAACCTTTTCTTTATTGCAAATGTTCTTATAATTCAAGATTCTAGAAAATAAAAATTGTTCAAATCTGTGTAATGAGACAAAATGGCAAGATCATACTGCTTAATGAAGAATTCCACACAATGAATAATTCTGGATAATAATTCTTTCTCCATTCAGTGTTCTTTTGGGCCATAACCAATGGTAGTCACCATCTAGTTCCTCTGTTATCTACGGTGCTACAAACAATGTTCAGGTGCTGATTCAAAGGTCAGATGTTCGAGTTCCCCCACAACTGCCTTGAAAGAAGGACCTGGGAATCTGGTTCTGAGAAGTGAGCCATTACAAGCCCTTGGAGCTCTGCTCTGACACCCATGGAGTCTCTATGGGCCACAGTTGGGCCAAAGCCCATTTGTTGTTGTTGTTGTTATCACTTTGACTGCCTTTGCTATTCCAAAGTCTTAGATAAGTTACCCCACTCATTTTTAAAGCATGCTTTTAAAAACTGATTTTTTAATGGGTCTATGACTTATTTCCTGTTTTGGTGGATTTGTTGTTTCAATAACTAACTAAACTTTTTTAATACAAAATTATCTTGAATGGGAAACATTGTCTTTCAATCCTGCCTTTAGGATATTTGCTAAGGTGACGATTCAGTGTGAACTAAAAATATCACACTTAAGCTTCATAGGGCCAAAAGCCAAATTAAAAGAAAAAGACCAAAGGAAAAGTGAAACAAAATCCTCTGATATGGGAAAGTCGAGCATGCATAAGGGTGCACACAACCTCCTTCCAGCTTCTGTGGTTAGAAGGGGAAAGAATGTTCAGAGGGAGTTGTCTGGGCCTTTCCTGAGATTAGCAAACAGAGTACTCAGGTAAGGTTTTCTGCAGTATAAGGAAAATGAGAGAGGCACTTTGAAGTGCAATTAGACACAATGAAGTCCACTACCATTCACACGTGACGTCTTTGAAAAGGCCCAGCAGTCTCTTCCAGAAGCGTCACAGAAAACTCCAGCTCTCTTCACATCCTCCTCTAAACAAGCCTGCTTTTCTTCAAGCCTCAACATTGGAAATTTTTTTTCATTCTATTTTTCTACTTTAAGGACTTACATTGTTTTCAACTAGCTTTTGTTAAAAATGCTTGCTATTTTGGCTATGTTGTGAGTTAATATCTTAGCCTGAGAACTTGACCTTCATTTACATTTGGATTCTATGGGAAAATGGACTTTTGACTAACAATCACCTACTGAAATTAAAAAAAGAAAAAAAAAGCCTACAAAAAACCCAACAACAACAACCTTCAGGCACAAGCCTTTTGTAATGGGAACATTGCTTGTGCATTTAAAAAAAAAAAAAGAACATTTACCTTAAAGTCAGCAAGTAGTATCAACTGTAATACAATACTTAGAACATGCCAAGCATTGCATTATGACCTTTACACGGGTAATCATTAGCCTTCATAGCAACTACATGAAGTGAGTACTATTTTTAGTGCTGATTTGTCCATGATAAATTTGAGGCTTATAGAGGTTAAATAGCTTCTGTAAGGTCTTCACGCTAATGAAACTAGGCCTGAGAGTTGAACTCAAGCACTCCAGGTCTAATGTCTCCTATTATTGATTTGCTGTCTGTTTTTTTTTACTAACCAGTTGTTGTTGAATCAATTCCAACCCCAGTAGCACTGTGCCTCGCAGGGTTTTCAGAGGCTGATTTTCACAATGAGACCAAGAGGTCTTCTTTCCAGGTGACTCTCAGTTCATTCTGACCTCCAACCTTGTGAGTTGCAGCCAAGTGTCAACTGTTGACTTCACCCAGGGACTCCTTGTTCATCTCCGGGGAGTGTTTAACCCTCCCACTCCCAGGACCACCTACCTGTGACTGTACTGAGTCTAGCAGCCAGGGTGGCGAACTCTAAGGCTTTCTCATAGCCTTCAAGGCTGATCTGGAGCTCCGTCAACTTGTTGAAAACACGGAGTTCAGTTCTGACTGCTTTCATCCTCCTTGCTAAAGGCACAGCACCAGCCTAGGAACAGAGGCACAAAGGACCCTTACCTGAGTGAAATATGCTAATATATATTGAACTTCAACAGGTTTATTGGGGGAAGACAGGGACTGAGAGGAGAAGAGTGGATTCATTTGATGTGGGACTGATCATCTACCCATGCATGCCTCTCCTTGGTTGGTGTTCCTGTCTCTTGTTTTGGTTGTTTTTCCTACATCTTACTGGTAGAAGAGTCAGAGGTCACAATTTCAGCCTTATCTTCTAAAATTGGGAAAACTGAGAACAAGAAAGAGGAGGTGGTTTTTTCCAAAGTCATCTCTCACCACAGCACCCACCACCCCATTCTGTAAAGTACATAGATGTTAGGCTTGAAAAGGGCTTAAACTACTTCCTGAACATGCTTACTAAATGATCCTTTATCTTACTTTATTGCTATCAATTTTAGAATAATTGTTTCAACTCTTGGGATAATCATCTTCTCTACAAAATATGTAGGAAAAGAAGCACCTCAAGAATCAGGGCCTTGTTTTCTGTGCTCCACTATTTCTCACGTGATACAACCTTGCTTGCTGAAACTGAGGAGGACCTCAAACTCTTGCTATAGAAGGTCAAGTACTGTAGTCTTCAATATGGATTGAAGCTCACCATCAAGAAGACAAAGATTCTCACCACTGGGCCAATTGGCAGCGCCATGACAGAGGGAGATAAGATTGAGTTTGTTAACAATTACAGCTTACTCAGATCCCCAGTCAACACTCTTGGCACCAGCAGTCAGGAAATCAAAAGACGAATTGTCCTGGGAAAATTTGCTGTCAGGGACTTCTCCAGAATACTGAAAAGTAACGATGTCAGTCTAGAGACTAATCCAGGCCATGGTCTTCACAGTTATTTGCTATGCATCAGAGAGCTGGGCAATTACGTAGGATGACAGAAGAAGAATTGATTCCTTTAAGTTGTGGTGCGGGAAAAGAGTCTTGAACACACTATAGACCATCAAGAAAACAAATAAGTCTGTCTTGGAGAGGATGAAATGAAGTTTCTCCTTGGAAGCTAGAATTTTGAAGGTTTGTCTCACATACTTTGGGTGTGTCCAGGAGGGAACAGTTTTGGAGAAGGACATCATGATTGGTAAGGTGTAGGGACAGCACAGAAGAGGAAGACCCTGGATGAGATGGGTTGATACAGTAACTGGGACAAATCGGGGTTGGTGAGTCAGAATCAGTGAGACTAGCTCAGGACAGGGCAGGCTTCAGAGCTGCTATACTTAAGTTTGCTATGAGTCACAGGCAACTCGACAGCAAATAACAATAACAACTTGGTGCCTGGTACATAGATTCTTTGTCATTGAATCAGAACTAACTCATAGCTGATTCTGTAGTGGATTTCTGAGGCTGTAAAATACACGGGAGAGATTAGCCATCTTTCTTCATTAGAGAAGCTAGTGGATTCAAATTGCCTGAGAGGTGTGGCCTTTGTGTTAGTAGCACAACTTTCTAATACACATTGGGTGTTTAATAAATGTCTGATGACATATTAAGAAGCCAAAAAAGCAAAGGACAGTGCAAGAGAAATTCAGTATCTGGCATCATTGGTTTTCTTGGCATTGTGCAAGATAAACCTGGTATTTCTATTGATACAGTTCATACAGTTTTTTAAAACTATTCAGTGTGCTGACAAAACAACTTTTCTTTTCCTAGGGTCACTGAAATGAAGAAGTAGAAAGTACTGGCATCCTAAAATGACCCTGAAGTGAGTGACTAATAGGGAGAAATAGTAGGAGAGAACAAGCATATCAGCATGCAGCCAAATGGAAACAAAATGTGACAGCTCTGTGTCCAGTGGCAGTATTGCACAGAAGTATGCGGTGACCTCCAGATATCTATATTGAAGGAACAGTAGTGGTTCAAGGGTTCTCTTGAAGATCAATCTTATATACAAGCTTTGGAGGAACTGTGATGATATGGATGGACAATGGAATTGAAAGACAAAGCAACATTCATTAAATAAAAATTTATTGATATTAAAAAAAGCCAAAAAAGGTAATTAGTTAATTAACAACTCAATAAATGAAATATTCTAATGAAATCAGATAATAAAGTGTTCTAAACTTTATTCATTTTTGAAAATAATTTATATATTTTTATTTAATACTTGGACAGTGACTAAGAGGAAGACCCTCAGCCCTGTGACTGACACAGTGACTGCAGCAGTGGGCTCACAGACAGTGAGGATGGCACAGGGTGGGGCATGGTTCAGAGCTGTTGTACATAGAGTAGCTATAAGTCTTACTCAATAGTACCTAACAACAACAACAACAATACCTGGATCCTTATTTAATTAGTATTATTTCTTAAATTAACTTCCTTTTAAAAGCCACAGACTGGAAAAAAATATTTGTTATTAATGACATGTCTGATAAGGGACTTATATCAAGAATTCATAGAATACTCAAGCACCACAACAAGATAAAAGTAAACAATCTATCAGAAAAGGGGCACAAGATATGAATAGACACTTTACCAAGCTGTGGTAGGAACTCATAGAATATTATACAAAATGGATAACCCTGGAGAACATTATGCTGAGTGAAATATCTCAATTACAAAAGGACAGATACTGCATAATGACACTTTTATAAAACAAGACTGAAATGAGGATTGGGAGAAACTAAGAAAAGAGGGGGTAAATAATGTACACTTCATTGGAACAAATGATGAATAGAACTGCTTAAAAGAAATATATGATTGGGTGTTATTTGCATGA